CTCAGTGATTTATCGGTGTTAAGTGAATTTGAATCTGATCATTTGGGATCAAAATGGCGTTTTTACGGAAGTACGCCATGTTGTGACGTTGTAGAGAGCCCCCTTAACATACCTGCGTAGGGTCTTCTCACAAGAAATAAAATTGCAAAATAGGAAAGCCCTAGCACCACTTGTTCAAAATTAATGGCTAAGGATAAGTGTTTGAAAGGTAGGTCAAACTCAAAGGTCAAAGGGTCAAAGTTGATGGTTTCTTAAGAAAGGTTTAATGTAACAAGGATTACATTTGTGAAGTATGAGAGTACTAGTATCTACCGTTTAAAAGTTACTAGCCAACGTAAATTAAAAATTTATTTGGCATTTTTGTGTAAAATGGGACAAACTCCGAGGTAAAGGTCAAAAGGTCAAATTTGGTGGTACCCAAAGTAAGGTCGTGTCACAAGGAATGTACACATATTGAATATGAAAGGCATAGCTACAATAAATGACAAGTTATAATAGTCAAGGTAAAAGTTTTTGCAGAGAAACAAACCGCCAGATAGACATTACAGACGGACATGATAAAACTATATATCCCCGAATCTTCGATTACAGGGATATAAAAAGAAATGGTCTTCAATTAACTTTTCATATTATGATACAGTATAAAGAAGACGTTACAAAAATGACAATGTTTGATCTGATTGTTATATTCTCTGAAAAATATACTCAGAACTGGGCAAAAGGTGGAGTAAAAGAAGAATTAAGAAATGTAATGAATACTGTGTGCTAAGTCAAAAGGTGATGTCTACATGTATAGTTTTTGCATTAGAATGTGTATTTTAAACTAACCCATACCTTTACAGAGCATATTTCTAGGTGTTATACCCACCCCATCCCCTTACTTATTTAAGAGGAAGTCGATTATCAACAAAAGCAACAAAAAAAAAAAACAAACTATCCTACCTTTATTTTTCTATAAGGAATGACTAAAGATAAGCTTAAAATAATCTACTTTTCTACTAATTTTCAACTGTTACTTTGCCACAATACTTTCAAGTATACCCCCACCAACATTTAAAGTATGCTTTAATGATGGCGAAGTAAATTATGATATGATAGAGCTTGTGTGAAGGAAAAAAATTGAAAATATTTAATGCTTTTCATTTATTTATTTATTTATTTTGATTTAACGCAATTTTTTTGGAGAGGGGTTAAATATTTCCTCCTCTTTCATTGTCAAATAGGATTTGCAACTTATACAAGCTAAAAGTATTAATGAAGGAAAAATTAATTTTTCTATTAAAGAGTATTGGAACCTGATTGTTGTTTGATTTCTAAAAACAAGTGGAATACCATTCTTTAAGCAAAAACTATAAGGAGGAATATTAAAAAGAAATTTTATTTGCTTGACAATTAAAGAATCTCTTTTCACTTTAAAGGGGTCATTTTTCAACGGGGGTCAATTTTTTATAGGACTAACATATAAAATAATGACCCCTAGGACACTTTTTCTACAAAAAATGATTTTTTTTCTACGGGTAGGGGGTCATTTTTTGTCGTTGAAAAATCTCATTATTCGATGGGGGTCATTATTCGTCTTTACACCGGTGTAACGAGTATGTTTTGACCGGGGGGAAGAAAATTGACCCCCTGATCAATTCGTGAAAAATGACCCACTTTTCTGTAGAAATTATGGCCTTGGGGTCGTTTTTCTCCGTGTGCATTGTAGAATAATGACCCCGTAGAAAAATGACCGCTTGTCATTTTTTGAAGCAAAAACATTCGTTTTGGTAGGAATATTCTTGTTAGGCGAATGTATACGGTTAATATCAAGCTGCCTTATGCTTTTAAGGGTTATTTCTGAAAGCTTTTAAGCTTAGATAACGAAATCAAAGCTATACAATACCTAACATTAAAAATACAAACTGTTTTATCCCCATTAAAGGAAAACAATGTTAAAATGTTCTAACTAAAGGCTATTAGAGCAACGATACTCGCATTCATAGAAAAATTTTTACATTTTATACAGTAAGTTTTCACAGTTGTCATTTTAATCTTAAAAAATGTTATTTTCTAGATGGTGTCAGAAAAAAAGTTTCCATAATTAAATAAGTACAAATCTCTTTAATTTTACCCTGGATAAATAATTTGCAAAAATCAAAATAAAGTTTTATTTTTCAAAAGTTAAACGTTTTTGATCCCTACTTTTAAAACTGGCGCGAAAAGGGGCGCTAGCTTGGAAAATTAGATCTTGTAAAAATAATATGAATGAAGTTTCAGTTAAAAAATAGGGATGATTTAATTTGTAAAAATTAGTACAAAATTAAATTGCCTCTGACCAATGATACAAGGGAAACAAAATGTGGATAGCTGTAAAATGTCTTTTGTCGTTTGCTAGTGTCAACGAAACCTTAAAAAATGGGGTTGTAGCATAAAACATGATTAACTAAAGTTATGTTCGTCTTTCCAAAATAAGCACATGTAGTATCGTTTTCCCCGTTCTATCATGTAGTTAATAAAACAGATATAGCGATTTTAGGAGTTTTTTACCAATAGAAAAAAAAAAACAAATGTTGGATGATAAAAAATTTGTTACTCTAATGTTATACTTATGCCCCCTTAAACGAAGCTTCGGGGTATATAGTTTTTTACCTATCCGTCTGTCCGTTTGTATATTTGTCCGCATAAAAAAATGTCCATATCTTTAGACTGGGTGGGACTATGGCTTTCATATTTCACAGGTGTATTTTTATGAAAAGACCTTTTTTGTGTATAACCAACTTTGACATTATGACATTGACGTTGAAGTTTGAGACACTTTTACCCCCAAATTCCACGCTTTTACTTTAGCATTAATTTTTGGACGGTATGTGCTAGGACTTTATATCGAAGTAATAGCATGATAGACAATTAGAGTTCATTAATTTGCAAAGGTTATGTCTATAAAATCTCAGAAGAAAGAGGATGTAACAGCAACCATTGGTCAGATGTCTATGGGCTAAAAAGTGTTGAAAAGGGAAGCATTTTTTTTTATTTATAACACACTCTGATTACACACAGAAGTACTCTGAAGTTGACATAAAAAAGTGCTTGAGTTTTTGATTGAAAAAAAATCTATGTAGTTTTTGGAGACCAGGTTTTCAAACAATCTATTGGAATTTCTCGTTGTGTTGATTTGATACACAAGAGCATGATCTACGTATAAACATTTTCTTGAACGAGGTAAAACATTGACAAGCAAGTTGATGAAACAAGAATATTCGTCATCATTTCGTAAATTCTATGATCAATACAATGACTTTGTCAGCAAATACAGTTTATCATTAAGTTAAATGCTGACTGACGTTTTTCGTGCTGATTGTTTGTCCATTATTTTTACATTGAATTGACAACTTATTTTTCCTTTATTTCCTGATTATGACAAGGATCACACGGCGGGTGTAACCGGTCAGCAGGGGATGCTCACTTCGCCATGGCACCTGATCCCACCTCTGATGTTTTGGAGGTCCTTGTTTTTTGCTTTGCTCCTATTTTGTTTTGTTTTATGGACTTTAATATTGAATACTGTTCGTAATCTCCATATCCTTCTTCCATACATATGTAAATGTAAGTTTAAATGTAAGAGCTAAGGGACTTGAATTTACATAGTTAAATAAGGTTGCTTTTCTTGCTTCTATGCCATGTTTTTGGATTTGTAAAAAATTCAAAGTTTATAGTTATCAGAAACAAATCATGCCATTTTCGGAACAAAACCTTTGAAGGATTAAAAATCACCCAAAAATTATAATAATAAATTAATGCTCCTCAATGAATAACTATTCATTGGGACTCTGCAAGCCAAAAATAAATCCATACCAGACACATTGATGGTGATGCCGCTATTAAGATATGCATAAAAAAATTTCCCTACTTGCATATGAAAGTATGAAAAAATATCAGGAGACACATACATAAGGTTTTATTGTATAAAAGAGTAGGGGTCAAAATTCTACGGGGGTCATTTTTCAACGTGTGTGGAGTCGTAGAATTAAGCGAAAAATGACCCTACTTGGTATATTGTCCCGGGGTCATTTCACAAAAAAATTAATATTCTACGGGGGTCATTTTTCGTCGTTACACCGGATCCTCCAAAACACAATTTAAGTAATGCTCCTTACAAGCAAAGTCATTGTTGTTACCAGCTTTATCAGCAGGTACCAGTACATACGGACCGTGTTACTATCTAATTCTTTTTTTTTTTACTTCCATAAAAATATATTTGAACAAACAATTATGTTATTGTGATTTTTTTTCTCCATTTTTATAGAAATATTAATAACATATTTATTCTCACTAAAAACAAAATGTTAAATACAGAATGCATTCTCAATAATTTACTTTTAATTTAAAAGGTGAAGGTAACAAACAGCGACTGCATGGTCCCATAAAAAGTATAAGAAAACAAATTTGTACATATGTCATAATTAAATGCGGACCCCGTAATTTCCAGGGTCGGAATCCTTTTGAAACGAATCGCTAGTTTTCATAACGATGCTTTTTGTTATGACAATTCAAATAGAACTCTTAAAAATATCCATTAAAACCACTTTTACGAACAAACATACAAAATTACCGCGAATTTGACATTTAAAAGCATATTTTCTTATGCAGTGGGTCGGTAACTAAATAAACAAAATTCTCATTGTTCACCATTACTGTTGATAAATTTACTTATATTGTCAATGGTCACTGTCAGCATACATTGTCAGTCGATCAAATTAAGGCAATGCTATTCAAATCTGTCATTTTTGTTGAGACGGTGAATGAATAGGCTATTAATATTGTTTTAGACTTTGATATCTTTGAATTGCAATTGGTTTTTATTGTTTAATTTAAAGAAATTTCCAAGCTTCTTATAAATTTTGATTATCTTAACGTATAAAAAAATATTTGACATAATATAGATTAAGGATAATTATTGAATTTAAGGTAATCATTTGATTATAGTAAATACGGTGCTCCATATAATTTGCATGTCAGCCCAAACATTTAAACATTTATGGTTTATAGGACAAATCACAAGGAAGGTCAGTCTAAGAGAGTGCAATGGTCGACAACAGCAATCGTAAAGTGTTGATCGCTATGGACGGAAGTGAATATTCCGAGGAAGCTCTGAAATGTTTGTATTCTAATGATGTCCATATAATCTGACTATATAAGCTTATATTGATCGTGAGTTACACGTGGTAGAGTTCATGAAGTCTAATATGGTTCAACAAATACAATATAATTAGTTTTACTTCTTTTTATATACGTAACACTTTGCACCGTTACCAGGTATCGCCGAAGAATCGTAGCATCATAACCTTTCTTATCTGTCTTATTCAGCTTAAGTACAAAAATACTGTAGCTTATAAGTTTAATTAATACTGCGCAGTTTAACACCAATGTTTAAAGCTAAACATACGTTACATGAGTCCTAGTTACAAGTATTATTATTATTAACAATGCATGTCATTTTATGAATTTTCAATCTATTATATGTATAAATTTTCTTGAGATTTAATAATTGGGTCATTAGAATAAAGGACAATTACATATATAGCCACGTCGAAAAAAGGTAAGGTAATGTCGTGCATGTTTGTTTGTATTCGAGAGTGACACCAAATGCCGGTGGAGTGGTGCAAATTTAGACCTGTACTCGGCACATAGTGCCTTAATTTGAGTAGTGAGGGATCTTTATCTTGCCATCAATTCACCTTCTGCGACACTCAACCTCAGTTTATACATTCTCATCCGAAGGATCGGTCTTCTTGTCCTGTGGTGTGTTGGATTCGAATCTGCGACGTAAGGACAGACCCCTTACCCCGCAACTCTTTAACAAACGCTCTAACCACTGAGGTGTTTAGTTAAAATTTGGTATATGTATACATTCATGAAAAACGTGATTATTGTATATAATTGCGAATCCTATCAGAAACGTAGATACCTCATAAAATTTCATCAGAAGACTTCGTTGCAGTGAATTCCAGTCAGGAACGATGGACTGCTTATGAAAAGCATTCATGATAATTATGTGTATACATATATTATGCATTTGCAAGAAATTTTATATCAAAATAACTTTATGTATGCAATCGAAAAATATATCAATGAAACATATGGATATAACAAACAGTAATCAAGATCAAAAGTCCATAAAACAATACAAAATAGGAGCAGAGCAAACATGGAACTCTAAAAAAAATCAGAGGTGGGATCAGGTGCCTTGGAGGAGTGAGCATCCCCTGCCTGCCGGTCCCACCCGCCGTGTGCTCCTTGTCATGAGGGGTAAATAAGGGAAAATCCGTCGTCAATTCAGTGTATAAACAATGGACTAACAATAAGTATGAAAAACGTCCTTTGACTCAATAATAAATTGTATTTGCTGACAAGGTCATTGTATTGACCATAGAACTATGTCTTTGTATGATGACTTTAAAATGAGACTGCTGATATTCTTGTTTCATCAACTTGTTTGTCAATAATTTACCTCTTTTTAAAAATTGTTCATTCGTAGAGATGCTCTTGTGTATCGAATTAACTGAGATATATAAACTCCATACGCAGGTGACGAAGGTATATTTCTGCATAAGTAAGGAAAGTTGACGATAGAAAAATTAAAGTCATCAGGTTTATCATAGAGTTTGATTGTTAGAATACCATTAACGTCTTTTTCAAGTAAAATATCCAAATATGAGAGAGAGAGGTGTCAGATACTGTGGTATCTTTTATTTAAAATTCAAAAGGATATATCGTATCGTTATAAGAATGGAAACTACCATTGCTAATTGACAGTACGTCGTCAATATATCTAAATGTCGAGTTGAAGGCCACAGCAAGTGTTTTCTTCTTTTCACGTTTAAGATTTTGGACAAATGCTGCTACATATGAATACAAAAATAGGTCTGCTAATAACGGGGCGCAATTGGTACCCATGGGAATTCCAATAGATTCTTGGAAGACCTGGCCTGGGGGCCATAAAACTTAGACGAGCTCACTTTTGATCTCAGTCTCAGTTTTTGCTAAGGAATATATAGTGGAAAAGTGAGACTGAGATCAAAAGTGAGCTGGTCTAAGTTTTATGGCCCCAATCAGAAAACAAATATCTTTTTGATGTTAACTACAGGGGACTTAAAACAAAATAATTTTGCAAATGACCAATGACAAAGCAAGTAAATTTACGCATACCATTTTTATTGAAAGAGCAGCTATTAATGATATCAAAAAGACCTGTAGCCCTTTTCACAAAAAATCTTAAGTTTTTGCTTAAGATTTTAACTTACAAATCTCTTACGACAAATCTTAAATGCTTTTCACAAATGCATTCGTAGCAGATTGAACTTAAGATTTTACTTACGACAGACTTCATCCTTAGCAACGGTATCAATTTGCTTTATAATCCTTAAATTAGAAGATGAAAATAAAGATATAGCTCGGTTTTCATCATTTATCGGCAGAACAAACGTTATTGACAAGAAATAACAAGTGCAATCGATTCTAAAACAAGAAGTTTGAAATTTGACGTCACAATCACAAGTATGACGTAAAAGTAGGTCTTACGATTATCTTAAGTGAAACTTACATCGTAAATTTTTTGTAGTGTATTTCATTTCATTTTTCCATTATGAGTGTGAAAATAATGAAAAATATTATTGGGAGTTACTTTTAATAGTTCTATTTAACATGTAATTTGATTTTTTTGGTTTTATTTTAACAATAAAATCGGTTTGAAAATAATTAAGAGAGGGTTGGAGCTCTCGTAAAGTTACGATAGATTTTGCACTTAGGACTTTCTTAAGAATTTTTGTGAAAAAGACTTTTACCGTAAGTTTTCACTTAGGATAAAAATATGTTGTAAGATTTTTTGTGAAAAGGGCTAATGTAATTTTATTTGATATATCGGTCGAAAAGTTGATCGAAAATTTCCAAATGGTATCTTCCAAATAGATACATTTACTACTGTTGGAAATGTGCTTTTTGTTACCTCAATCCGACTTCCACTCAAGTAAATATAACATTCAGTCACATGGAATTAGGGATTGGGTAGAAGTAGAAGGTTGCAGGCCTTCCTTTTTTCTCTCTCCAAACCTTACATTTTACAATTTACTAGTACGCTTCTGTTAATTGCAACTTTTGATATAGCATAGTGAATCCCTCCTACCCGAGTTGAGAACATCCCCGACCACGCGGTTATTACGCTCAACCCCCTTCACGATTGATGGTATGTGGCTGACAATATTTTTCTATTTCTCACAAAAATTCTGAAATTTATACAACTAGTCTAGTTGTTAAGTTTAGCCCTACTCCCTTCGCTCTGTTGGGTTAGGATCGATTGCTTTTTTAATTAATACAATAATAAGGCACCATCAAAGTACGATATTAACCTTTTCCTTCGAGTTCGGTGAGTATTGTACTCTTTGGGACGCTAAATTATTTGATCGACCTCAAAACAGCGAAAATGTATATTGTTAAAATGAAATATATGGAGATTAACGAACAGTATTCCAGATCAAAAGTCCATAAGACATTACAAAAGGCAAACACGGACCTCCAAAACATTAGAGATAGGATCAGGTGCCTTTAAGGAGTGTTCATCCCCTGCCGACCGGTCACACCCGCCTTGTGCTCCTTGTCATGATCGGGAAATAACGGAAAAATCCGTCCTTAATTCAGTGTATAAATAATGGACTAACAAGCCTATCATATCCCGGTCCCTATTCTTCACTGACGGCTTTATTTTGATCAGTTCATCTCTATCAGGAATAAAGGACCATGCTTTAGCCTTCTTCACTTCTTTTTTTCACTTCAAACCATTTCGATACTTTCCCTTTCTCTATCACAAATCAGCTAAAATCTTATCAAAGACTTTTATATATTGTTTATGCCTTATCAATTTTCCTAAAACTTTATTTGTCTACATAATTTTCATAAGCATTCTCTATGAATGGGATCAAAGGTTTTATCGAACTCAAAGAAATTAATGTATAGTGTATTGTGTCATTCGTATATTTGCCTTACAATGTTGTACAATATGAAGATTTTCATTTGAAAGTCAGCTTCTTCATTCTCCGATACTATCAATTAACATCCCTCACAGAATTATGCTCACTATAGACTTTATAGTGAAATTTCGGTATCTCAATTTTCTTATTAATTTTTCAGATTAGATTTCCCTTTATTAGGCAATTTTATGATAAACCCCTTCCTCAATATTTCAGATATTTTTATTTCCTCCCATATCTTGTTAAAAAAGGATTATCACATTTTCCTTATGTAAAATAAAACTCGACTTAGTCCATTGATATAGAGCCTGTTCCTGCTAGTGCCTTTTCATTTTTAGTTTTTTGAAAGCATTTGTTTTTCAATTTCTGCATATGATGGTCCAGTGTTGTTTTCTTTGCTATATGTTTTTCTGTAATTTCGTATTTTTTTTTTCGACATAGGTCTTATTGGTACAGACAAATTCTAAATGAGGCAAGGCATTGAAAAGCAAGTTGATGAAATAAGGATATCAATATTGTCTCCTTTAAAATTTTCAAATTCTATGGCTGACTTCAGCAAATATAATCCATCACTCGTTTTTCATACAATTTGTAAGGCCAACATATTTTACATGCTGAATTGTCTATGAATTTTTCCATTTGCCCAATCATAACAAGTAGGACTTAAAGGGCTTGACAGGTCAACAGGGGATGCTTACTCCTTTATGGTATATGTGGCATTTTAGAGGGTCGTGTTTGATCTGCTCCTGATTTGCTTTACTGGAGTTTTAAGCCTGATAATTATTTGTTATCTTCAGTTGACATCAGTTGGTTCAGCTTGGTGATTTTCAACCTGGACTGAATATTATTTTAAAAAATAAATATAATTATGCAAATTTAACATCATCGTTCGTGACTTTAAAGAGCAAGAAGCATAAAATATTTGTGAACGAAATATTTCAATAATATATAGTTGGACATGTTGCGATTATACATGTATATTAGATATGCTCGCATTTGGACCCAACAGGTATTAAAACAGATGTATATTTGTTTTAAAGATTTCTTTCACAAACAAGTAAATAGATAATTTGCTGTTTTGTAAAAGAAAAGTAACTCATGTGATTGATATAAACTCTCTCTTTTAGGGTTTGCAAGTAAAGTGTACAAAAATGAAGATGATGTTATTGTGCTCCACGTGACAGATCATAAAGAATCTCTATCCTATTCATGTAAGTAGAAAATACACATGTTATGCTCAGCTTAAACTACTCTGATAATATTCAGCATATCTCACACATAGTCTCCAAACGGATACCAAAGTATTAGAATGAAGGGGAAGTACATGTATGTATTAATATTAACTGGTGAGCATGAACAAAGAAGCAGTTCTTCTACTGGCAGATACGTTACGCGGACCTCGTTTGAGCATTTCGTAGATATCATGAATGTAACCTAACATTGCGTCGTTTTTTGGCTTACTTGTTTCATACCCATTGTTAGACCTTTGTTTTTTTATGCAGAACTTGACTAAAAGATCTTCTTTTTATATATATATTGTATATTTTTTCATTTGCGTTGCTTTACTTTTCATTGTATATCTTTACATATATGGTATAAATATTTCTTTGTACTTTTGATTGTTTTGTTTCCATATGTATTGTATAATTTTCAGTTTGCATCGTAAAATGTATTCATTTTTATTCTTTAATTTTTCCCTTTCTATTGTATGTTTCAGTGTCTGTTGTATAAGTTCTGTTGTACAATTTTCAAAATGAAAAATACAATACAAAAGGTAAAATATTTACTTTATGTTACAGGGGTATGGGAATGATCGACAAAACTCCTGTCAGTGTTCTTTGAATATTAATTCACAGTGGAGTGACATAATATTTAAGATAAAAACATATTAATCTCACAATTCTATTGGAATAGGCTTTCCCATTTCCCATCTGCTCATTATATTGTCTATTTTACAAAGTCTATGAATGATGATCAGCTATTTAATACAATGATAATTAAAAATATAATCTCCTAATAAAAATATACCAACAATTGCTCACTTTGAACAATATAATCAAAAATATCTTTGATCATCATAAAAACACATAATCTGATTAACATCAAATTACTTCTAGCAAATATTTCATATTGATATTGTAATCAATGATAAATTTACATCCTAAAATAACTTTCTCTCAAAATCATTCATTAACTTTAGTAAATGCAAATGAAAAAGGCTTTTGCATACTATAGGATAAGCATTTAAATAAGAAAATATTAGTAACTTACAAGAGAAGGAAATCTTCAGTCTCAAGTTATTGTCTAAATATATGTCTGATCTGATCAACCATGGAACAAAGAATGGTCATAATAAAGCGGGAAAACTTTAGACCAGTCAAGAAAACCAATCGAATCCGAACTTTCAAATCAATAATCAATAAAAAACAAAATCACAATGACCACTTCCAAAATACCTGATCAATGGCCTTGGGTATATACAAATATGCACAGGTAATACAGATAAGGGAGAACTAAGGAGTGGATCTTGGTTTTTAATGACAACTGAAATAAAAAATAAGATAAATATTCTGGCAAGTTCTATAACTGTATTTTACACAAATCCAACACTATTACATTCAAGTTAAAAATGAACCTTTACTATAAGCAAAAATTTAATTACTGTTTCTACAAGGGATTAATATATTTCCTTTATTTATCAAAAGGATTGAAAATGCTGCTATTATTAAACATCGATAGTTGTTTTAACTCATTCAAATTAACATCTGTGAGAAGTTGATAAAGCACAAAAAATTCAACCATTTCTCAATTTCAGCCTGGGTGAATAATTTGTGGTGATAAAGCAGATTCTTTATAGAAGCGGGTTTTTTTAATTCTAGAACACATTAACCATATTCAGATTCACTTATTTTTCTTCCCACTAGCTAGTTATTAAATATTAAAAAATAATGTTACGAAATACAGCTTCCAATTTTTGATTTTAGTAAAATGAGGCATCATCATTATGCATATAAAATTATTATTGACAGCTCCCTGGTTACCTATGGACCCCATGATATTCCAAATGAAAGTAAAGGAGGAGGAAGACAAGGCCAAAGAAACAATCAAGAAAGTGGATGCCTTAATCAAGGATGTCGGGGTATGATTGTTTCTATACTTTATAGATAACTGAAGTTTTTTTTGGGGGGTGGGGTGGGGTGGGGTGGGGGTGGATATATTGTTCGTTATCTTTATCTTTCATCATTTTTTAGCAACAGTATATTTGTAAAAATAATCTTCTTAGTAGTATGTAAGAAAACTAAAATAAAAATTACTTTTATCTATATTTTGAGTTCTCTAAGATCAGAATTTAATAAATACTGCAACAATATTCAATAATATGGTATTTTTAGATTAAAGCACACGTCATTCGAGCCCATGGCAATCCCGGAGAACAGATCACTAAAAAGGCTGAAGAACTGGGTGTCAGCATGGTCATCATTGGATCTCGTGGACTGGGAACGATCAGGCGGACTATAATGGGGAGTGTCAGCGATTTTGTGTTACACCATTCGCACATACCTGTCGTGATATTTCGCCATTAATGAAATATAGATATATCATATTAATCACGAACAACCCGTACCATTACTGTCAAAATCTTATAATGAACAGCTGCCTTTTAGTGTTTTTAATGTTGCTTATGATCATCACTATGAAAAATCAAGCTCTCTACTTGAGTAGAAGAATTGATTTTAAGATTTCATAGATCTTGTTGTTCTGTAAGAAATTGGTTCTAAATGCTTTTGAAAGACATATGTTTCATGTACATGAGTTCAAATAATACATTTATTTAATAATTCAACACTTACCAGAGATTCTGTATAGTATTGTATTTTGACAGTCCGTTATGAAGTATCATATAACAAAGAAAGATACTTTGCGGGTTCCAGTTAATGTTCAACCAAGCCTCTTCCTTTACTCCTCACTAAGATATTTCCAGTAATGAAGGAGAAACTTCAAGAGTACTGCGCAACAATATATTCAAGAAGTGATGTGAATCAGATGTGGATACTTAAAAATTTCAAAGAACTATTGAAATCACAAGATTTTACCAAAATCAACAGCTTAAAAACTTATGACTTTTTAACTTAATAAACAACCCATTCCCCACGATAAATTAAAGTCCAGGCTTTTTGATATCATTGACAGCTGCTTTTTCATTTAAATAAAAGTGGAACTTATGGATTTACTTACCTGGTATTTGGTCATTTGCAAAATTATTTTATTAAAACACATTCTGATTGACACACAAGTACTCTGAAGTTGACATCAAAGAGATGCTTGAGGTTCTGATTTACAATATCTATGTGAATTTTGGAGATCAGGTCTTCCAACAATCTATTGGAATCCCCACGGGTATTAATTGCGCTCCTATATTAGCAGACGTATTTTTGTATTCATATGAAGCAGAGTTTGTGCAAAATCTTATGCGTGAAAAGAAGAAAACATATGCTGTGGCCTTCAACTCGACATTTAGATATATCGACGACGTACTGTCAATTAACAATGGTAAATTCCATTCTTATAACGATGAAATATATCCTGGGGAGCTTGAGATACCACAGAGTCTGACACATCTGTTTCATTCTTGGATATTTTACTTGAAAAAGACATTAATGGTAATCTAACAACCAAGCTCTATGATAAGCTTGATCACTTTAACTTTTCTATCGTCAACTTCCCTTACTTCTGCAGCAATATACCTTCATAACATGCATAAGGAGTTTATATCTCTCAATTGATTCGATACGCAAGAGCATGCTCTACGTATGAACAATTTCTAAAACGAGGTAAATTATTGACAAATTGTCAAACAAGTTGATGAAACAAGAATATCAGCAATCTCGTCTAAAGTCATCATTTCGTAAGTTCTATGGTCGATATAGTGATCTTGTCAGCAAATTCATTTTATCGAGTCAAATGTTGACTGGCATTTTCCATACTAATTGTTAGTGTATTATTTATACACTGAATTGACGACGGATTTTTTCCGTTATTTCCGGATCATGTCAGAGAGCACACGGCGGGTGTGACCGGTCCGCAGGGGATGCTCACTCCTCCATGGCACCTGATCAACCTCTGATGATTTGGAGGTCCGTGTTTGCTCTGCTCCTCTTTTGTATTGTTTTGTGGACTTTTGATTTTGAATATATTCGTTATCTCCATACATCTCATAGAGAAAGTTAGAAATTGTTGCTAGAAACATTTTATTATATACCTATTGAGTATCACTCAATTTTACTGCAACCACGTGACGTTGTGATCCACTTTCCGGATCACCAAATTGTGGTTTTCTAAATCCATATCACCACTCTCTGAAACATGACGTAGTACGCAAAAACATGACGTTATTTTCTTGCATGTTACAAAGTCTTCTGTTTTTATGCTTTGTTTTATGGATAAAAATTATACAATTGATCTCTAAAGTTCCATTTTGCTACATTTAGCTAGTTATAAGGGGGTATATAATAATGCATAATTCTAAATGCAAATTCAAAAAGGGATTCTACGGTGGTATATTTAGGACACGCAATTTTTTTTTTAAATACCACAAAAAATTATCTTGTGAAAACGACATAATTCTCTTGTGAAAACGAGATATTATCTTGTGAAAACGAAATAATATCTTGTGAAAACGACATAATATCTTGTGAAAACGAGATAGTATTTTGTGAAAACGAGATATTATCTTGTGAAAACGACATAATATCTTGTGAAAACGACATATTATCTTGTGAAAACAAGATATTATCTTGTGAAAACAACTTATTATCTTGTGAAAACGAGATATTATCTTGTGAAAACGACATAATATCTTGTGAAAACGAGATATTATCTTGTGAAAACGACATAATATCTTGTGAAAACGAGATATTATCTTTTGAAAACGAGATATGATCTTGTGAAAACGACTTATTATCTTGTGAAAACGACTTATTATCTTGGGAAAAGGACATATTTTTTTTATATATAAATGTTCTACAATACAACATGATGTAATTGGGACATCTCTGTTCTTTATGAACGTTCCTTCAACGTTAACGGACGCTTAAGCGAAAAATGTACATTGTGTTCTTACATTTAAAAATTTCAGATGATATTTCATTCAAATACAAGAGGCCCAAGGACCTTATAGGTCACCTGAGTATCATGTAACAACTTTCCAAAAATTGAATTTGGTTCGTGTTTTAAACCAGAGGCCATGAAATTCACATTTCGCGGTCTACAAAGCGTAAACTGCCCCAAGTTATGGTATATCGTATGACAAAAGTTGAAATAACCTTCATTCCTTAATTTAAAGTCATATCTGCAAAATATCGGCTTGTATTAATTATTTTCATGCATTAATTGGATTAAAAAATATACTTTCTTGGGTCCTAAAACGAAATAAAACATCCTTAAACTTTATGTTCACAGTCATGTAATATATTCTGTGGAAAAACAGTTTTTACGCCTCCTGTAAAGTACCAAAATTCCCATGTACGACCTTTCAATTCCACGGTGTCGATATGTCATTTTCACAAGATAATATCTCGTTTTCACAAGATAATATCTCGTTTTCTCAAGATAATATCTCGTTTTCACAAGATAATAAGTCGTTTTCACAAAATATTATGTCGTTTTCACAAGATAATAAGTCGTTTTCACAAGATAATTATGTCGTTTTCACGAGACAATTTTTTGTGTGGTATTTAAAAAAAAATAATTCCGTGTCCGAAATATACCATTGTAGGATTCTGATCATGGTGAATAATCTTTTTTTTTCACCGGAAGACTAGGTCATTCAAATAAACGGAAAATACTGTTAAGTATGGGTGACTGGTCACGATTTTCCTCCCTCGTACATAAGAAGATATTTTAAAGGCCAAAAGGGTTTCTAAGTTAAATGATTATATTTTGAATATATTTTTTCATTTTAAAATGTAACACAATTAAGAAACTCAGACTGCAATCAACTGAAACTTTTAAAAATGACGTCACCGTATATTCGTGAATCATTTTAAAAGTTCAGATGAAAAGCTTTTTTCGCAGACGTGTCTTCTGTTATTTTAATTAAATATATGCTGATATGGCGTTCCATAAGTATTACATGACAAGCGTGGCCTCAATGTATAGTGAAATTCTTTAGCAATACAAGTCAACAAATTAAAAATTTATCTAATCTTTTCCTGTTCCACACATAGTACTACGAATCAAGCGCAATGGCGGACAAAAGTAACAAGCGGAAAGTGATGATTGCAATGGACGGGAGTGAATACTCGGAGGGAGCGCTCAAATGTATGTAGTTTTCAGTTAATATCGATTTCTTAACAGGAAAACTGTGTATGCTTTTCTGCATCTTGATAACAAATGAGAAAATCAGTGACTTAAAGAGCTTTATCATGTAAGTAAGCTTTTGATAAGGTCTCTATTTGTATATAACTTGTATGTATAAAAAAGAATTGTTCAACACTAGTGAATGAGTATTGATTTGTTGTTTTTATTTATTTGGTTGAAAATAATGACTTCATAAAAAAAAATAAAATGAAACAAAACTTAACGTTTAAACTAATGACATTTATAAATAAGAATTAACATTCAATTCAGATTAAAGGATTAATGTATAAAGCCTTTCGTATTCCTCTGTTTTAGGGTTTGTCAAAAATATGTACAGAAAAGATGATGAGGTCATTGTCCTTCACGTAACTGATCACAGGAATTCCATGGCGTACGGGTGTAAGTAGACGTATATTGTCATAGATACTAGTATATTGTGAATACCAAATTAAAAGGACTGGATGCAAAGTGTTTTCATCAGAAAACACCACAACAGAACATATATTTAGTACAGAGCAATTTCTCACTTGAATCCCAATGTTCATTGGAGTCTTAATGAGGCAAAGAAAAAAATCTTTTGATCAAAATATCTTTTGAACAATTAAACCAATGTTTTTAATTTAATATTATAGTTTTTTAAGTATATTTTTTCCATATTTTAAAAATATACATGTACATTTCTCTTCCTAACTGTACGCCTAACTGTGACTTATATGCCAGTTTTTGTGGAGTGAATTATTTCCTTCTTCCTCCATATGCACAAAAACAACCGACAGAACACAGAGTACAAATTCAAGCAAATTAAAAATGTGCACATAACTGAAACGTATGAAATGTTAACCAAACAAATTCCACAACTTTTTTATGTTGAAATTCATTATCTTGAGCATAAGCAATCTGTATAACCAGGAAGAGGCTGGCGTCATGCTTAATTGATAGCAAACACTTGGTTATGAAAAATTACAACATAGTTTTCTTAATCATATATGATTTTTAAGTGTAATAGGTCAACGGGAAATATATATTGTAAAAAAGGTAAGAAAATAAAGGTGTCATGAAAAACGCAGTGATGGCAAAGATGTGAGCTAGCAGGAGGTTTGATAACCTCTGTTTAGATAAAACATTGATTAACACCAAGTACACTTTGTCTACAGGATATCAGATACTCATTATGTCAAGATTTATTTTCCCTCTATCGATTCATCTACGCTTTTTTTTTTTTTGCAAGGATCATTATGATTTTATAAAACCGATATGGTTTAATCAACAATGTTTTCGCTGCTAAACTAAATATTTTGGTAAATCTTTTTTTCTACATTTTTTTTTCATATGTAATAAATGACATATTATTTTTCACAACTTTAAATCAGATTGATTTAATCCTTTGAGCATGTAGGAATTATAAAGCATACTCCTATATCAAAACACAGAGATTATAAGAGATTCCCAATGAATGTTCTCTACACGAGTTCAAATGACCACATGAGATTTTCACCACAACAAAACTATTTCCCACTTCTGTTTTCCCCCTCAGATATTCTGCTTATTTTGAAAGTTAATTATTTTTCCTGTCTTTCTCTTAAAGCCGCTTGGATGCCTGTAGACCCCAAAATCGTTCACAAGGCATACAACGAGGAAGAAGAAAGGGCCAAAGTGCAAATCAAGAAACTAGATGCAATATTGATGGACGCAGGGGTAATTGTTTTCTGAAACATGCCTACCATACCGATCTGACAGAAAACTCTATTGATTTTTTGCCTGCATATTATCAAATTTCCTGCTTCTTCGATAATATCCTTTGATTTATTTTCTTAGTCAAGCAGATTTTTAATTTCTAAAAATGTTATGTAAGAAGGAAAGCTTTGGAAAAGATCTCTGAAATATATATAATTGCAAATCCCACGTTGCTATTCAAAATATAATAAATCTGATCAAATTTATATCAATACGGTTCTATGGATGTTTTATTTAAGGTTCAAGGGGAAGTAATACGTGCTCACGGAAATCCTGGTGAACAAATCATCAAAAAGTCGGAGGAACTAGAGGCAACTTTGATCATCATCGCCTCTCGTGGATTGGGAAAGATCAGGAGGACAATTATGGGAAGTGTCAGTGATTATGTGGTCCACCATTCGTCCATACCTGTCATTGTGTGTCGCCATTAATAGTGAAGTGTTCTACAATGAATTTCATCAAGGACAGTTTAGTTTTTATCTGTGTTCATCAATTTCAGCTGTGTCTTAACTATTCATCATTATTCCATACGTCTGTCTCAATAGTGACTAGATTTCTAAACAGTCAAAATAAAATATCCTTTCTAGAATATTTGATTGGATAATTAAAGACTTTTCATTTATTCATTTTTAATACAACTTTAAAAGTCAGTGCTTCTCGCAAAAGTCCAAAAGAATGAAAGATTTCTCTGATCCCATCATCAATATTTTACAAATTTACCAGAATTACATTCCTTACATGCGTAATGACCGAAGTTTCATATTTCTCCTTCAAAATTAATTTTTGAAAGATGAAGTGAATATTTCTATATAACGTTTTCCCCTCACTTCCACTTCTTCAGTATGATCCTGAAAATTTTTTTTCTTTTTTTTTCGTTTCAGAGTATCTCCTTGATAAACAATCATATTCTTTGCTTGATAACATCACACTATGGTGAAGAAAAAAAATCGTTATACAGATATAAAATCAAAGTACTGAGACAGTACTGAAAGACGGGGTCAAAATAATCTTCATGCTAGATTTTACAAATGTGAATTTTTTTTATGAATTTTGATAACAACTTAATTATTTTTTAATATACTAAAAACAAAACTGTGAATAATATAAATTCACGTTTTTCATTTAATTTGAAGTAGAAATTTCAATAATTGCTCAGTTAATTGGAAACCTTTCTGAACTGTCCGAATTTCACCGGGTACGAATTAATATTTTTCTGGAAGTAAACAATGGATGATGCGTACGCAGTCGTAATAATACGCAGGAGAGTACTTTGTTTACCATTGTGTTTTACAATTAATATTTTCAGATTAAAATTTTCAAAGTACTTTATTAGATTTGAGCTAGAAAAAAGTTCATATCACTTTCTTAAGTTTGATACAGAATGTTCATATTTTGATCAAAACAATTTCTGCACTCTTTAATATAGCGTAGATTTAATTCATGTGTTATCACCACGGCTTCCGTTTTGAGGCCTCTGAAAGTAAACTAATAGACGGGGTCACGTGACCCCGTCTAAAAACGTTTCTTTTAGATAACAATTGAATACATTACAAGCTACAAAGTTTTCTATACTCTCAAACCTGAAAAACTTCGGTCAATTCTGTAGAACAAAGCGGTGCCCTTGAAAAAGAGTTGTCGGGGTTATCTGGAGTAGCTTCCCCGTACATTTACAGACCTTTAGAGTAACAGCTTTATTACCACGGAATATTTGAAGGACATTAAATACAGAGGGGGATAAAAAATACTATATATTGTAAATCATTCTTAATAGAAACAACTGGTCAAAACACATTGGATACTTAAAAGCATGCCCAACGTACGATCAATTTTTAAACCGAGGCAGGTTCAACAACCTCAGTTTAAGTTTACATTTGGTAACTTCTATGGTTGTAACCTTGTCAGTAAACCTGTCATTTGGTTGTATTTTGGCTGACTGCTTTCATACCAATTATTTTAACCCTTGTGTTTATACCAAATTGACTAAGCAATTGTCCGTCTTTCTGATCAATACATAGGACTACCAATGGGTGAGACCGGTCACGGGGGATATTTATTCTTCATAGGCATCCGATAAATAATTACTGTCCATTACAATATGATTAGGTTAGTTTGCTCATTAGATCATCGATTAGAAGCCATGTGAAGTTACAAAATAAAGAAATATTGTGTTTCGTCTTTTCTTCAACTACAAATTTCATAATCCTCAATTGAATTATAATTTTGCAGTTGCTCTTCTCCAAAAGTGTACCATGAATCTGCGACTATCTTCCATGCAAATCTGGTAAACATACATTTATCTGGTGCACAGATATTGTATTAAAATTAGTTAATTTTTCTTCATTGAATGGATAAGAAATCTAAAGCAGTGCGTTTCCTATGATACACTTTTACCTACTAGTATGCCTCAGAATATGAAAATACAACAGAAACTACACAAACTTTTAATGTATTAAACATTACAAAAATTACAAGCTATACATAAATACATGCATATGTATTCTGCCACATATACCTACGATGCAACATAAAGACAACGAAAAGCAATCAAGCCCAAACGCTCATTTAAACAATACAAATCGGGAGCCTAGCAAACATAGACTTAAAGAAAGATCAGGGATCGAATCAGGTACCATGGAGGAGTAAGCATCATCTGTCAACCGACCAAACCGGCAGTGTGCTCCTTGTCATGAACGGGAAAGCGGAAAATCTGTAGATAATTCAACGTGTAAGTTAGCATGAAAACATCAGCCAGTATTGAAATTAATGATATATTGTGCTGACATGGTCATTGTATCGATCACAGAGTTAAAAATTATGACTTTAAAGAAGCCGTGATATTCTTGTTTCAACAATTTGCTTGTCAATAGCTTACTTCGTTTAAGAAATATTTCGTAGAACATGGTCTTGCGTATCGAATCCACTGGGAAACAAATACCAATATGCAGTTTAGGGCTGGGTATTGGCCAGAGATTTCGTATTGCGATATATTGCGATATTTTAAACTGTATTGCAATATTTTCAACGAAATTAAAATGGCATTTTCTTATTTATATTAGCTTTAATTTACAGACAGATTGTACATAACTATGATAAGTTGGCAAAAGAAAAAAAATCTTGTTGATTTTATTAAGTTATGCTCTGAAAAACAACCATAAAACAGCTTCTGTCTTACTGTTTGGCTTCATAACAAACCTTTCTTACATTTATTTTTATATTTGATGATAAAATTCCGTAGTCTACACATTTTGCCGATATATCGATATTACAAAAACGTATTGCAATACGATATTTTTTGACATTGTATTGCAATATACCGAAATATCGATATCATTGCCCAGCCCTAATGCTGCAGGTGGTAAGGATATTTTGCTATGCGAGAAATACGTGGTCTGAATGGATGTTATTTCACCCAGATTCTAACCTTCAATAAAGATCTAACATTTTAGAAATTTCTCTGAAATTGATGTTGATTTCATGCTGGTTAATGTAGCAAAAATGCCAGACCTTAAATGAAGAGCGTTCTGTATGTAACGGGAGAATCTGATTTACTTGATTCAATGGATTAGCCAAAAACAATTATATCAATTTCGCTTATCATCCACTAAATATAAATGTAAAAACATACTTACACATCTATAGATTTAAAGTTTGAAACTGCAAAGAATTCTACTAAATATAGTTTAGCAAAATTACATGTCATAAATAAGTATATGTTTAAAGCTGTCGGAGAAATAGTAAGATTTATTGCCCTTTGCATATTTTCAGATTTTTTTTAATACTAAACAATACTTTAAAAAATCTAATCAAAAGCATTCTGAAATAATATTTTCAGTTTGGCACTTTGTAAAAATAATAAAACAGTTGATATTTACAAGTCAAGAAGGAATCATTAAGACAACAAATACCAATCAGAGAATGTGTGTCCAACGCTAAGGACGAACGGGCGAACAGAGTGACCGAAATTAATGTCACCCACTTTCAGCGGGGGACAATGAGCTTTAAAGGGGTGTTGCTAAAACGCGGAACGGAAAACGGAACGGAAAGCGGAACGGAACGGAAAACGGAAAATTTTTGTCAAACAAATAACATAGATTCGATATAAATCAGATGAAAAAGCAATATTCTTGTTGTAAAAATCATTTCTGATAAAAATGTATTGTAAACTATTATATATTCATGAGTCATACACAACTTCCGTGGAAAAAATGGTACTGAAATAAATTCGACCCCCCCCCCCCCACACACACACACGAAATAGGGTGTTGCTAAAACGCGGAACGGAAAGCGGAACGGAACGGAAAACGGAATATATTATTTTGGATTAAATCACTTAAGATACACAAAATTTATCATAAACGATATATTTTGTACATATTTAATCCCCCACTATTAAATACAAGTTGATTTTATCATGCTCAGTCTCTTTTTTTTTTACGAAAATCGCTAACATATAGCAGTCACCTAGAATCGAATTTGAAAAGGGGGGATAAACGAACTTGAAAAGTATTTGACAAGCAATAACACAAAAAGAAACAATTGTTTGATTCGGGAGGGGGGATAGGTTCCAATTCCAACATCTTTCAGTACTATTGTTTTACACTAACTTACTACATTTATTACATTCACAAAAAGTGTGAGGATGTCAACTTAAACGAACATTTCCGTAGTAAAAAGACTATGACTGGGGGATCAAATATTTGATATCTAAATGAACCATGAAAGAGAAATAAAATGTTAAAAAAAATTATTAAGATAATACGTTAAGGGCAAACCTTTACGGCAAGCTCGAAGAAACATCTCTTATACACACTGGTTGTTAAGATTTTATTCAAAATAGAGACATTTTCTACATATTTAAATTCTGGAAAAACAAAGTTGGAAAACTTTCATGTCATTCAGTGAAGTTAAATTTTGTTTGGGGTACATATGTGTGTATGTTTCGGGGGGGGGGGTGTATATGAATGACCCCGTAAAAAATGAGTTTGTTTTCCCACTCATTGGAAAGGTCTGAGAAGTTGTAAAGTTGTAATAGGTATGCCCCCCTTTTTGTGTCAAAAATATACATAAAGTTTAATAAATCAATTTTTAATGTGACTGTGAGCCCCTACATAGACCCGAAACTGCCACTCCCCCTTTCATGATTCGCGAATTCGACACTGCGCGTGCATAATCTGAAAATCATAAATAGTTATTTTGTCTTTACAGACATTGACATTGGAAACTAATTGAAAGGAGGGGGGTCAGTAAAACTTTTCCAACATACAACAAATTTGACAAACCACAAAAAAGGGGGGATATGTCCTTTGCCCAAACACGAAAATCCTATTTCGTGTGTGTGTGGGGGGGGGGGGGGGGGTAAAATTTCTTTCAGTACCATTTTTTCCACGGAAGTTGTGTATGACTCATGAATATATATAATAGTTTACAATACATTTTTATCAGAAATGATTTTTACAACAAGAATATTGCTTTTTTATCTGATTTATATCGAATCTATGTTATTTGTTTGACAAAAATTTTCCGTTTTCCGTTCCGTTCCGCTTTCCGTTCCGTTTTCCGTTCCGCGTTTTAGCAACACCCCACCAAATAGGATTTTCGTGTTTGGGCAAAGGACATATCCCC